TATTGGTACAATACCTAGACGTCATAGAAGAACCTAGTCATTCATAGTTTCTTTCCTACTAGTGATTATAATGTCTGATTAATTAGTAATCGCAAAATTTCCATTTTGTTGCGTAAAACTATGTGTTTTAAGTACGTCGTTACCTATCTAGTAATTATTTATGATTAAGGAAAAATAGTGAGAAGTAGTTTATCGGAAGTTTTAAAGAATTGTAATAGTTAGGGAAAATAAGTTAGTTTTCAGTCATCGTCGTGTGAAATGTATTGAGAAGTGGAAAACCCAACAATTAATGGTACCTGGGACAGTCTGTAAGTTTGATAGAATGTGTATAAAACTAATATGATAAGGGATCATCACAAGGGAATGCAAATCTCGCGAGATTGCGGCTCAAGCGAGGTCTCGCGAGATTGGCAGTTTGGTATTTTGTTTTTGCAAATAATTCCGTGGAGAACTTAACGGGTTACCGGGGCTCCGGCTTGAAGTGCAGGAGTAGGAACGGGGTGTTTTTAGTCAGTAAGAGTCTGACACTCCCTCCCACCTCACCCAGGCGGGAGAAGTTATTCGATGATTTGCCCCCCTTAAAAATACTTAATACAAGCTACATGTAAACACACACTTCCATACATGTTATAAAGGCAAAATAAGAAGTAGTCCATTGACATGTTACATGTCATATGAGCTTCGCTATTGTTACAGGTCGCAATTTTATTTTAGGGGCATGTGTGGGGTGTTAATAGGAGCTTCACCTCAAGCCGGGGCAGCCGGGGGTCAAGGGGTCAACCCTTGACCCCCGGCTGCTATCATTGACCGGTACTTAAATTGCAACATTTTAATGAATTAAAAGTATTTAGGAATAGCGTACGAAGGAATTCAGTACACATATTATGCGCATTAAACACTCAAATATACATATCTTACGTATTTGGCAAACCTCCTGGACATTAGGCGACGGAGAAATCTGGCAAATATTCATCTTAGCTTTTGTTTAATCGAGTCTATGAGTCCAAAGTCCACAGTCTGTTTGCCGATTGGCTGAACAATGAAGGTATCAATTAATCAATCAAGGCCTCCTATCCTATAAACAAGACGATTGATGTCATACTTTTGTTGACTTAATTCTCTAAGGTTTTTGGTTTGGTTCTAAGGTTAGGAAGATATTATTGGTCTTTATTTGGTTTTTCGATAATTTTCAGTTTTCAGTAATTTCACGTAGTTAGGATTTCTGCTCAGTTTATGGTATTTTTTTTTTGCCCCACAATAACTAACAATTACTTTCCTCCACAATAGTATTTTCTCCTGCGTCGTGGGTGCGTAAACATACAATTTCACATACACATGACCCACAGCCCCGTAACAACAATCTGTGAATCACACAAAGAGTTGTTCCGTGCGGGAATAGAACCCGTGACACATTGCGTGGCAGCAGTTAAACAGCCACCGCGCCAACCGTTCAGTCACTTATGTAGTAATTGAACTAATAGTCTTATTTTCCTTCTGTATTGCAATGGGATTCATAATATAGCGGGTGAAAACTGAATGTCGCATTGACTATGTGTAGCTCTTTTCCGCCTGCTCCATTTTTCCTAATATTTTTCCGAAAATATTCTTACAAATAGGAAAAAATCGCCTAGTTTATTATCTAGGTACATACTACATCATCAAAGTAAGATAGTACCTACTGAAGTGTAATTCACAAACAATAAGTGTAATTTGATTTGAGTCAACTCACTTCATTGTAATAGATAAGTGCATTGTGCATACCTACTAATTATCCAATCCAGTTTAAACCAGTTTCTACCTTTGCAATTTGAATACACATTTACATAGATATGATATAGTATCTGTTTACACACATGCATACACAGTAAGTATAGTTATGCATTGTCCTTTTCCTACATACATTTGCTAACACGTGTTTTTTCCTAAGAACGTGACTTTCTATCGTAATTGCATCTATGAGACAATTAGTCGTGTCATTACTATAATAAAAGATCTTAGTGATTTCTTATTTCTATATTTCTAGAAAGCACTTTTTTAACTAGCAAATTAAGCATCAGCTGTTGTGTAACTCAAAATTTAGGTAATGCTGCAGGCGCGTTCCTCTACCGTTTGGGGGCCGTGGCAAATTTATCAGACAGGCCGCCGTTCAAAGTAAGAAACAGAGAAGTACAGATGAAAATATGTTAACGGGGCCCCTTCTAGCTGGGGGCTTATGGCATTTTACCGGCTTGCCACCCTGTAGTTACGCCACTGTAAAGCTGCAACAAGTGTAAGCATATCTCAGGTTCCATCCCCGACTAGGAAAAAGTTTCAAGGATATTTCTATTTCGAAACTACCAACATTCTGCATACCTGTCATCAGGGTGCTATTAGAGAAGTTCATCAATGGACAGAAACAGGAAGATGATGTTGAAGATGACATCAGTTTCTCTGTTTACCCTTTAGTAAAGCTATTTGTTCGGCCCGACGTGTATATTCCCATGAACAGGAACAAATAATAAAACACTCCTGCTATTGTAAGCACATCAAAACTATCTTCATACAATTGGGTATGCAAAAGCACCTAGAGACCGGATCAATTGTCGACTGTCAGGAGCCATCAAAACATCAACCGGAGAGTATTATTAGGTCTCGTGTTTATTAAACACGGACTTCTTAGAAGGCAAGTAAGTGGGTGTCAGTTTATAATCGAAAATGTCGCAGTATGCCGGCGTCATATGAACGTGTACCGTCGTAACAGGACTCTGGGTTTGCTTATAGTCCATTTACAATAACAATAACTAAAACTTCCTATATTTAATGAGATTCTTAACCCAGATTTCAGTTTTAGTATTTTTCTGTCGTCTGGTTCTGACGTCTAGGTGAGTTTAGCTGAATTTTTAGTTTTCAGTCGACTGTCGACATTTTCAGCAGTAGCTCTTTCTTAACCTTTATTTAAATCGTAATCATCTCGGCCTACAAGGAGCAGAAGGCGTTGTAAATGGGTTATTCACTTAGATTAAACAATCTATGGTTATTCAGTGGTCAAAAGAAGATGGACTTCTGTCTACTAATTCCTAAAGAATGCAACACAGCAACTTGTGACTTTCTTGAAAATATTGCAGCTGCAATAAGGAAAACGGTGATCATGTTTAAGTCACGATTGCTTGTAAAATAATCTTCAAGATAACATTTAACTGTTAAATATTTTTAATTTCCTTTTTATATTTGCTCAAGTAGATCGACAGACATATTATAAATTAAGAGTGTAGTGCTACATAAATGTTACGTTACGGAAATAATTAAGAAATTGTTTTGCAATAGTGCATTTCGTAAAAGTCTGTCTCAAAATGGCTGCTGGCTGAAATGTAAAAAAGTATATAAAAAAAGTCTAACCGCTGTATTAAGTAGATACAATGTTGTTAGAATGCCGTCTGGTAGATTAGGTTTACGGTTTTCCTAATTACTTTAGTGTCGTCTGGCAAGAATGCTTCGTCTAATGCCTTCTAAGTACCTACGTTCGTCAAGTCCAAAGGTTCGTCTATTTCGCACACGTGGTACCTAATTGAATGGTGTGGCGTAACAATTTATCTTCTTTGTTTATTTTGGTTTGTATCTACAGATGTGTCTGGATTTTAATGATAAGATTTGTAGACTTAAAATTTATTATCTTATCTTTGTTTCCGCATGTTTAACTTCATCTAATTTGTAAAGGATTTAACGAAAGATAAAATATGGCACTAGTTTCGATCGTGGTGTTAAGCGAGTAATGTAAATATAATCTTTTCTTGGAACGTAGTACATTTAGCTGTTGTAAGTTTAAAGTACATTATGTACCTAAAGCTAATTTGTTTGAACTATCGCTAAGTGCATAGTTAGTTCGAATACAATGTCGTATAATGCATGGGTTACCTTGAACTCACGTGGGACGGTGGCAGTTTTATCGATTCCTTTTGATTTGTTATACTTCATAATAATATAGTTATTGTACACATGTAACCTATTTCAGGTGGCCGTTTCGTATTATGCAACTTCCTCTGCTCATAATATTTTGCAACAGTAAAGCGAAACGTGTCAAATGATGCAGGAAATATTTACGTATTACCGGGGGAGTAGAGGACAAATATCTAGTAGTTAGATTTATTGCGATTATTTTGGTCCTTAAATATAAATGTAATTTAGAGAAGTTCCCAGAATCTCAGCATTTATTAAGAAATATTAGGAAAATATTTTACCATGAGAAACTGTGATGTTGTTTATGCTAACTTTTTAGAGAAAGGAATTGAATTTTCGTCCTGGAACCAATACCTACGTAACTAGAATGATGAATCAATGCTTTAAATAATCTGGTCTATAATAAGATTGTCGTCTTCCTGAGAGCTTACAGAGGCTTTTTGCTCCGGTGCATCTTGAAACGAATTTAGCTTTGTGCATCAGTACGCTGGTAGTCATCGAGCTAAATAAAGATTGCTTTTATAAAGACTTCCAGAGCAATAATTATCCTTCTTTTATTTGTTTGTCATAGGCCATGACCGTATTATTATTTTCTCATTTACGTCCCTTGTTTATTATTCAAGTGTTCCCGATAAGTTAATTTATTAGAAGCTGTAGGTAGTTACTTTAGTTTTGTCAATATTCAATTGTTATTTGGAGTTTGTGAAAACACACGACAATTTTTTCTTCCTTCCCAACCGAAACTTTTGTTCGTCCCAAAAAGTTTGGAATAAAGTTATTACCTGTTGCCAACTATGCCAAAGTTTGCGGGTGTGGGTGTGGATCCTCGCCCTCTCCCGTACTTCATTCTGAAAAGGGGACAGTGACGTCGACCTCGACGTATTCAGACGTATCGATAGCTACAACGCATGCGTAACCGTTTGTCGATGTGTGAGTAAACTGTCTGGTGGAGCACGCGGTCAGTGCGTGCTCCTCTTTCTGTCTCGCTTAGACCGCATATCTGCATCCTCTTCGTGGGCGCACGCTACGACTGGGGAGCACCGGTAAGTTTAAAATACCACCGTAGCGAGGGTTAGCGCTCAGTGGTGATCAAGCTGCGCTTCTGTACAGACGACCTTACCCTGTGTGACATTCGCTGAAATTGTTGTGAATACTTTTATTGTATTGTAGACTTGTGGAGGCTGCTAACTACATTGAAACCTTGAGTCCCCGCCAGCTACAGCTGTTGCGAAATATTTATTGTGACTAGGTAAGTTTCAAAATATTTGGAAAGCATGAATTTTACCAAATAAATTTAATGAAAAAGTAAAGGATAATCGAACAAGGATAAAGGGTCTACGATGCAGCGAACATTCTGGTTTAACTAACGGTAATGGACAGCAAATGGCCGACTTGTTCATCGGCGGGCGCTTTCTCTCTCGACGAGTGGTCTGGCTTAGCTATGACAGGCTGGTAAACTGAATCACTTTCCATTGCACAAATAACTTTTGTGGCGCCTATCATTTTATAACTCGCTGCAATTAGTAGGAAATAAATTTATTTAATTTTCCTTTCTAATCGAATTAATCAGAAATAGATTGAAATAGAAACATGCAAAATAACGTGAATCAATTATGTCAAAATTTTAATTTGTGAATTTTAATGTAATATTTATGTGTTTTAATTAAAAACTTAACCGCATAGTTACTGAAGAATGTAAAAATGTAACGCTCGACTGGCAACGTAACTGTTGGCTTGATCCTTCGTATTGTGTCGTCCGATAGTTTTGTCTACTTTTACCTGCTCATTTTTTGTCACGAGGGTAACAGCATTGTCGTCTCGATGCACACAAAACGGTAAATCACCTGCATTTCGGGTAACTCAAAGAAAAAATCTTTTGAAATTCAAGTACTTAACAGAAAAAGGGACTTGGGCAACAAAAGGGTTTTTTTTATCAAGAATACAGGAATTCCCTATTTACAGATATTGTTGGTTTATTATGGGATAGGTGAATCACCTTCTTTTCATTGGGTCCAAAGATGGAAAATTACCTCAAAACCGTATGTAATTACTAAATGTCCTTCTGACGTGTTCACGAATTCAGCTGTTCAAACACGAACGTCATAAGACCTTTACCTTACGGCCTGTTAATATAGGAAACGAGATGACAAAACCCAGATATATTTAAAAATAAACCTTATACGTAAATAATCAGAGATTTATTTTCAAAAATCAGATCGTCAATAGAAGAATTGTATGGCAATAAATCGCGATGCCCGTATCTAGGTCACCGACGGCGGATCGCTTGAGCAAAAATGTTTCAGTATAATCGCGAATTTTCTGGAAGAATGCCACTTACAAATTAAGGATTTATTAACGACATTTGTATGCATATATAATTAGCTAATCACTGTACTAAATAAACTGCACATTTTAGTGTTTGTTAGTTGTTATAGTGAAAAATATGAACGTTCTTGCACATGACCGTTCTTCAAAAATTGCCTAACGCGTTTGTTATGAAACAGTAGTACACTCGGATAACGCAGCTGGTGGGAATAAGGAAACAAATACTAAATATTTTATCAGTAGGTACAAAATATTGATATTTTGTCACCAATTTAAATTATTTGAAGGTCCATACAAACATAATAATATAAATAAAAAAATGATGGCTAAAATCGACTCGTTTTTATTAAATGTTTTTTTTTATTCACTTCCTCAGACTTAATTTGTATTTTAATGTGAAGTTAACCGTACAGGTTTTAAGGTTTAAGCGTTTCCCAAAAACTCGGTTATTATTTTGGGCAACCCAGGGACTATCGAATCCTAAACCCTAAGGGGTTTAATCAGTAATCGCGCTTGAGGCCACTCAACCAACTGGACAATCGATAATACTTAAGACGTATATTCTATAAATTGTACTTTGAATCTTGCTCAAGTATTGAGTCTCACGATCGTTTAACTAACTGTGTCCTTTTGAATGTTAATCTGGTACTAATTAATTGCTAAACACAAACAATATTACAATTAAATAATAATTACGTTATTTACTATTTAATATCACTTCTAATAACAGACCATCTTGGGTCAAGGACTAAACCAGTAATGATTTCTAAAATAGCTGCATAAATTATGAAGAAAGTTGGAAACTTTACATCTAGGTATTCAGATAAGGCTCGACTGCTTCATCGATAAAGTGGTTTCATTTGCCTACGAAGCAAAATCAGCTGGTATTCGATTCATAGTTAGTAGAATTTGGGCTTCTTTTTTGATTTTTCATTGATTTGTGGAATCATCGTGTACAGTATACATTGTCTGGCAATAGGTCATAATGAATAATGTCTAAATCCTTTCAAAAATAAGGCACTCTTTAGTGTGTTAGATTCAGATTAATACAATTCAGTGTTTTCTTCCATAGATTTGAGAAATTTTGAAGATAAGAAAGATGCTCGCCAGCCCTGCCATGGAAATGCAAGTCGAGGAGACTCCCTTGGCTCTCCAACGTCTGTGGAACCTGACCAGAGCTCGTCTGGCCGGTACATCCACTCTTGATGTGGAACCAGCTCTCGGAGAATCTTTACCACCAGCTCAGGTAAGGAGAAGATAGGTTTCGAATTATAAGTTTTGATTGAGGGTACTGGAAGGTTAATAGGCTCAACTATTTTACTTAACAAAAGCGTCCTAAGATCAGAATTTTTTCTTATGTCACTTATGTCACATCACATCCAGCCCTGAATTTGTGGGTCACACAAAGAAATATTTCCTTGTGTGACCATGTGGGAAACGCCTTAGTAATATTTTGGAAAACTGCTTGTAAAACACCAATTAATAATATGACTAATATAGTTGCATTAATAATGGAAGTTAAAAAAACTTTGCACAGTTGTTAATGACGTTACAAATCAAACAGTAATTAACTAATTAAATAATGATTAAAGTTTAGTTCTTAGAAATGAAAATCCAAAGAAATCCAACGTTTGTCTTTTACTGATCAGGAATTTACTCGATAAGAGATTCCTTATAGATGAGTCATATAGCCGCAATTATGGCGTCTGCATTCCAGTATGAAACTTTCTTATCGATTTTCGACTTTGAAACGAAATAATAAAATTGAAAACGCATTGTAATAATTTTGCAGTTTTTTCAAATTTGAATTTGCTAGTAACATATCATAACATTTTTAAATTATGTTATACTTACATGTAATAAATAATCTCTCAGTAAGTCAAGGGCTACTGATCTGTCCTCTTTTCTTATCAGTGATGCGCACATTCTCCTTCATAACTTATTCAAGATAATTTCCTACTTTATTTAGCTAGTCATAAATAGTCAATGAGTCATATTATACGATGTTATAAAATATCTTGTCTTGTCTCAGGAGTTCGAAGGCACCCCGAAAGCCTTGCTTCCAGCTCCCAGCGACTATGAAAGCGATGGTGAAGAAGCTTTCCCAGAGTTAGAAATACCTGTAAGTATATGATTGTGTACTCTCATGCTATTTTTATAAAATTCAATTTTGACGAGAAAGACGTGATGTTTGGGCAGAGAAAAATCTTGGCAAAGAATACGGGGCGTGGTTTGACGGATGTAATGCGAGAGATTACGTTGTAGGTGGTTTTGTACATAAATATTACAGCATACGGATGACGGCGATATAGTGTATAAATACATTTGTTTCTCGTGAAATTCAAGTCATTGATTTTCGTACACCTTCTCATGTTTGGTAAATATAGTAGGTAGCGGATAGCGATATGCTCACTATGTTTGGTATTTCGTCATGTACAACAGATTTGCTGGTCGAATGTTTACTAATTTCGTAAAGTATGTCATACGGGCCTCACGTTTATCGCTTATCAATGTAGTAGCACGTCACGACGACTCCCCCGCGTCTAGACAACGAAGGTATAAGACGTTTGATAACACCTCTTGAAATGAGAGACGTAATACAATTAGTCGCAGATTGCAGACACGCGTTCCTTGCATTTGTATGTCTTCAAATTGATTTCGCATTTATCATGCTTCGCCGGCTCCTTATTCATGCGGTCCTCTATTAAGGTCGATAACATAAACTTGATAGGCTTCCGACGTTATCAATTTCCGGAGGTCGTAGCCTTCATGAATGAATTAGAACAGCTAAAAAAATAACAATACAAAACTAGTTTCTTCTAGCAAAAAGTCGTGTAGGAGCAACGGAATTTGAACAGATCAACGCACCGAAATAGCTCGCGAGGAAATGCAACTAAAAATAGGTTTTACAATTTCCGCGGACGAATGGACTTTGATCCTATATTTCAGATAAATAAACAAATCAATTTGCCATGATTGCCGACGAACCATGACTTGTACAGGACTTCACCCCATAGCAGTAATGGCGTTCAATGAGTTTCAATTACGGCTTCAATTGGAATACAATGATGTCTTTGTAGTTATAAATAGCTGCCGACATTCCTTTTTCCTTACTGTTCTATGTCTTTTGTTGTACAATACTAGAATTGGCTATTTAGGTACCTACTTGAGATTTCTAGGATTAATATAATACCTAACATCAAACTTTATTTTGGTATATTATTATGTAATAGAACAGCATCTGATGATTGACACGAGTGGTCGTAAATAAAAAGAAACACTACGACGTAATTTTTCTTCACAATGAAATTGGCAGCAGTTTATGAAACATCACATGGGCGCCTAAGCATTGCCAACTAGGTACTTTTCATTATTAGACTTGATTCCTTTATTCTTTGAAGAGACCGACGACCGTAGACAGGTCGGTGCACCGGTCACTTAATAAAAACAAAGAGAAAATCAGTCAGAATGTTAGCACTCAAAGTGTCTTACGATGATTTTGAGAGTTTTGAGGAAGTATTTGAAGACCCAGACTGGCCAGATGTACGGATATGTTATGAATAAAGTGATGTGTGTGGTGCAGTCTATAAATGGTATTGCAGAACAGTGTACAAATGTGTGTGTATTTTTGTAGGAGGCGACCGATGTGCCTAGCAAGGGTTTCTGGCCTGACAGTGCTTACACTAAGGAGGTTCTGTTGGACGCAAGCTCGTTGGGCGATGTCCCTGCGGTGTACCGCGTGCCGCAACCCGCTCCCCATCAGATGCCAGTCATTGGCGTGTACATCGACCCCCGCGTCAGAACCGGCTTCCGTTACAAAGTTAGACCGATGCAGGTGAGATCAGTAATTTAATTTATGTCTAAACATTGTCGCAAATATAAATACTCGACTCGCTGGTCTGTGGGAAATTGTCTCATTATAGCTAAGAAGTGTTGATGATTGCGTTGACTAACCGTAACACACGCAATCTTCCACATTTCAAAACTTTGAAGATATAAATGTGAAAATCAACTCAGATGACCACTTCTCACACGATCTCATTGAATGTTGCTTAACCATCGACAAATACGTTATGTAAACAATCTGGGATCGCTTTTGTATCATCAATGTCGAGCTTCCTATTGACTCAAACAGAAAAACGACGAAGATCCATAAAATGGGGCAAAATTATTACAAACTGGACTGTACAAGAAACGACTATGTCGATAAAAGAATGTACTTTGGTTAAATTAGTAGTCATAACCGCTGTCAAGACATAATATTGTGCTAAACATTCCGTTTCACATTACTACGAGAAGCTCTTTGTTGATAATAGACGTCAGGTGACTATTCTTTGTTACTTGTAATTTGAATTACAAAGCCTTAACAAATTAGAAAAAAAAAGAATCGAAGTAAATCGGTTGTGGTTAGATAAAGAACATTTTTGCAAGAATAATCCTTTTCAGAGTCAAGCGGACGGTGAGTTTCTACATGTCTTACAGAAATGTTCATGGAACAAACGAAAATTCTTGATACAAATTGGCCATACCTTCGAGAAATATAATCAATTTAAAGATCAATTCAAAAATACATTTAAATAAGAATCTTCGTAAAGTTCCATTGTACGTAGCCACAATCGATAAACACCTTACTTTTATAATTAAGTAATTAGTAATCTTTGATAGACTGATAAACTCCAAAAGCACGATACGTAAGGTTGTCATAAAAACGCTTTATTTGATGCTCTACAGAAGATTACATACTTAAAACTTCCTAATTAATTATAGTCTATTAAGTATATATTTAAAATGAGTTCAATTGCACCTACAATAGAAATGTGCTTGTATTCATGTCTTTCATTTTCTAAAGCAGTTTATTATTGTAATGGCAACCTTATGAATGTCTAGACAGACAGTTAGTGAATAAGATCTGATGTTGGAAATAATTGTCGAATATTCGCTAGTCGATTTCAGCAGTCCAGGGGATTTCGGAACAGTACTAGATTAGTGGGGTGTTAGTTCAGTGAGTAGCGGTGTCCGTTGCTGACATTTCCAGAGTGAAAATATCATCAACGACCAGCACTGTTAACTTGCGTGTATATGCCACTGGTTGTGTGCACTTGCCGTTGTAGGCGATGGTATGTGGATCGTCCAGTTTTTCAGACCCTCGCCCAGAGCGGCGTTGACATACAAACTTCAAGAAACCTGCAGTGACCCGACAGGTTGAAAGTGACATACTGGCTGGCCGCATGTTATGTCCACAATAGGTAAACCATAAGTATCATTCATAAGGGCATTATGCCATTGTTAATCATATCAATGTTCTATTTCAAAAACTTACTTTTTGGTGGTCTTGATATGATTATTTTTTTCATTTCATCGTGAATGTAAACATGGGAAATATAAATTAATGGAATGTTCATTATTGTAAATCACAATGTCCTCACGTAACATCAGCACATGTATTGCTAGACGTGTCTAATCGTACTCGCATCAACTTTACTATGATTGGAAAAAATAGTCATAACTGATCACGAACTTGATTTTGAGAAGCAATATTTTGTAAATGAAATGGTTGTAAGTGATTAGAATACCAGTGTAATTAATTTTCTCCTATATTATTAACTACTAAAGTATTTTTTAATAATAGTTGAAATTAAAATTAGGAAATAAAGTTTAGTACGAGTCTTTAGAAAGTTTTGTAACATGATGAGTAATGTTGTATTTAATTTTCCAGGCTCTGGATGCCCCTCCCCTATCTGTGAAGCCGAGATACTTGTTCGGAGGAAAGGCTCTCACCCTGCAATCAATTGGCCGTGGTTATGCCCGCCGCCTAACATTTGAGCCTGTTGGATCCAAATTGAATGAGAATGACAATTTCTTCTGGACTGACTCCAGGCCTGAAGGATTTTTGTTTGAGATTGAGGCTGTATCTGTTGGAGACAAGTTTACTATCTACGATGCTAACCATGAACCGCAGGGTATCCTGGAAGTGGTTCAGCAACAGGTAAGAAATGAATCTAATTTTTATATACAAGCACCCTATATTTTTCTTGTAGGGACACAAAGTTTTAACAAATACTTTTATTACTTTTTGCAGAAAAATCAAATTGAAATAGAGCAGAAGATTCATGAGAACGGATCCATTGACAAGAAAGTCAAGATAAACACCCTTTGCAAAGTTGAGTGGTATGAAAACGATGGTGCTACGAAATTGGTGCCTGTGACTGGTGTCGCAATCTTGAAGAAGGGCAGAGGAAACGCAACGGTGTCCAGGGTGGTTAATGTAGCCATCGGCATCAAACAACTCAAGAAGGGTTATGAACTCAAACCCGGCATTGAATCTTCCTCCAGGAGGGTTACCGTCAACGGTGGTGATATTAAAGACATTCCTTGCCAGTATTGCATTGTCGGTTTAGAAAAATACGAACTTCCCGCCATTGGTAATTATTATTTTCTTGTCATACACTATAAATATGGTAAATGTTATGAGACAGCATTTTTAATTGTTTCATCTCCTTTTAGGAACCTACGTAGATCCCCGTATCGTTCCCGGCTTCTACTACCGCGTGCGGCCAGCTGGCAGCCGGAGACATCTCTTCCAGGGCCGTAGCTTGCTACTGCAGTCTATTGGCATGGGATACGGAAAACGCATTACTTTCAAACCCGACTCCCTTAACGAGCCTGAGAACTATTTCTGGTCCGACTCGCACCCCGAAGGTATTGGGATGGAAACGCGGGCCATTCATCCTGGCATGAAGTTCTCGGTCACAGGAAATGGGGTTAGTAAATCAGTTATATATAAATCTGGTTCCGGTTTGGTTTCCATGAAAATTAAGATATAAATTTTTGGAAGCTAACAAACCAAAATGTTAAACAAAATTACACATACATAGCATTAGAATCAAGATGTTAAATACATAATATCAAAATCTGAAAATGCCTCTTGGCGGGTAGCCATTTTATAGAAAGTGATTTGAGATAAAACATATAAAAGCTTGTCGACTCATTTGTTTACATTTACTTGTTTATAATGGTGTCAGAGTTCAAGATACTTTGGCAGAAGGACAATTTCTAATGCATTTTACTTTTGGCTTCTAGCCATAAATATAACCTTGGCAGTTGTTTTAGAATTTATTTCTATTTTTATTCATGTTATTTGTTTGGTTTTTCAGGGTCTGTTGGGAGAAGCAAGCGTATTCCGTGCTGATTTGCCCCAAGCTGAGGAAAAGACAGAATATGTGGACGTGCCGGGAAAGCGAGGAAAGGCAGTCGAGAAATACGTTCATGTGGATGTGACATGCCACGTAAAGCTGGCAACCACAGGAGGCGGTTCAGTAGACTCTGAAGTGCATCTCATGAAGGTGTCAGGAGTGGCACTGGTCCGCAAAGAACCGGGTGAAGCTGTCGCAAAACTTGTAAAGGTCTTCAACGTCGGTTTGGACTCCCAGTTGAACCTGTTGTTCGCGCACTCACAGACCGAGCTGACCTTCCATCCCCTGCCCTAAACGTATCACGAGGTCCGAATGGTGTTGCAATATCTGTGATGGCAGTCGTCTCACACAGAGGTATTGTAATGCCAAAAGCTTACCTGGCGCGACATAGGTTTCGTCAAATGCCAACCGATTGGTTTCGAGTCTGCAACCGAGATGGTCTAATAGATAGGCCGATGCTGTTTGCAATTCGGTTGCACGCTCGTTCAGCTGCTAGCTGCTAGCTGAACAGTATACCTGGATATCACCATCAAGCTCCAGTTTTACCACCATCGCTGTGAAGATTGCTATAGTAACGACACAACCATGACATTGCATCAAGAACATCATCTCAGTGAAATTGACATGGTGATTGGTGGAGTCTACGTCTTTTAACAACTAAGGCATATTGTGTCGATTATAAAGTTACTATAAGTACTTTCCAAAAGCAAAGGATTTATCAGTATTTTAATTTAATCGTTCGTAATTTGTTATTTTAAAAATGAAATCAAATTAGAATTTTCAAATATTGTACCGGAGAGAGTAGTAAAAAGACTAGTGTTATCGCTGTAATAAATAATTACCGTTTTGGGACATTATTTAATTTGTTATTACTATTTCCTCGAATATTATATATATACATAAATAAATAAATCTAATTATTTTATTCAATTATTGTTTTCATTTTATTTTTCCTAACCTCGTTACACCAAGATTTGACTCGTCTCATCAACTCAAAAGATAGGAATTTTTCAGTCCTAATCCTTAACGCTATGACTATGAACACTTGTTAAAGTAAAATTAAAACTGAAACATGTTTATATATAATGTATGCACATAATGTTGTAAATTACTGTCTTGCACAGTAGCATTATGTACTTAAGTTTGAAGAATTCATTACAACTGTGTTGGCATCTTGATATATTCCATTGAACTACAAGAGAAGATATCTACCATTACAATTCATAGATGGCACTACAAAAGTTTCAAAATTAATGATCTAGAATAGAGGGCGCTGCCTACAACTATAATATGTTTGTCCAGTGTTGCCCTCACTTCAAAAGTCTGTTTACACGTTTCAACCAAATACCGTTAGATGGCGTTGTTGCAACAATAAGTTTCGAAGTTTATGAGTTCAGTCGCCTCTACCACGAGCGCGCCTTGCGAGCGCCGAGCCGTGTAAAACAAGTTATGACTACGTAGAGACAGATACGAGCTGAGTTTAGCGGGAACTCTCTGTCTGACTCGGCCGGCGAACGTCAACCGCGCTGGGGGTCTCGACGTCGCACGACACAACTATACGAAAGTCGCGATGTGCCAAATAATAACTGGGAGACAGTGAATTGGTGCGATAACACGATTTATAACACGAATTTATTACGAACGGTGAGCACTATGGCTGAAGTTAGGTGCGCTAGTGTTTTATTTATGTGCATTTTATATAGTGTCACAAGTTTTAACCTGGAACCGAGGATTCCTGTGATAAAGTTCGGAGAGCCAGGCTCTTATTTTGGATTTTCTGTTGCGGAACACCTCACCATCAACGGTGATGGATCAAACATAAGTTGGTGAGTGTTGATCTCTTCTTAAGCGTAACTTATCTAGCAGTAATGAGACCTCATGATGTCATATGTGAAGGTCGCCGCCTTACATACATATGGCATATCGGTCTGTTGATTTTGTTTCTTTGAATATACAAAAATTTATGTTCGAGTGTGATATGAAAATTATCAGAATTTCTTATCAAGAATTTATGAAGTCATTGTAAAATATAGTACCTGTATATGGAACTCGACTTGTGCGAACGCTAAGTAAACTTGTTTAATGAGTTACATTATATGCAACTTGTAGTTACTTGGCTCTGTTTATAAAACAGTCTAGACTGAGAAATATGTCACGTGGAGTATTTCTTTTAAGTACTTCAGTCAAAGAGCTTTCATCGACGTTGGAGACAATAGCCTCTTAAAAATACAATGGTCCAGTAAGGACTTTAACTTGAACGGAACTGATAAACAAAAAGTTGTCTCCTGATTCTCTCTGTCCTTACCTGTCGTACCGGGACTTTAAAGGGTTTAAAAAAGTACTTACCTGAGAGTTTTGGGTCAAATAATAGGAGCTCATAGTCATGAAATAAGATTTAAAGAGTTATAAAAATGTATGTGTACTCAATTTAAAAATTAAGTAATCTTATAAAGTAAGCTCTTCCGTGTTCTCTAGCTGTCTGATGAATGGACACGTATATAAACTGTGGAATATATAATGAATGAGTGGAATACATCTAGATACGAGAGTAGGGCTGTGACCTAGTGCGGGAGCGGCGCCAGACCGAGCATTGCACTCAGCTGGCGGAGCTAATTCTGCACTATCACGTGCACTTCGGATATGTCACTGATATTGATCGATATGACGATATGTCATACGTGTCACATCACTACAGCGAAAGAGCAGAATATATTTCGGGAGTTATGAGAGTTGTCAGAAGCCGTTTCGAAAATATATTGCGAAATTAATTTACACTAGTCTGAAGATACTCTGAGCTTCCGCAGGAAAGTCGGACGGATTTTAGTTACAGTTGCATGCGTAATATTTTCATTTAGCGTTTGACTTCTGCAATTTGGTCAACAGATAGGTTTATCTTACTTATCTTGACGATAGTTATTTTTTATCATTAACATTATTGACTTCGGGTCATTTCGTCAAAAAAGGACCAAATTATAAATTAAGGCCAATTCCTGAGGGTTGGCGCCAAAAAGCCTTGTTTAGTTGCCAGTCGAGGACGGAAATGCATTTGGCACATAAAGCTCATCTAGCAGTTACATGAATATGCAATTCTTTTAAAAATATATTAACAGCTTCAACTATAAAATGAACTTCATAAGATTTATTTACTGACTGAAACGAATATTTCCTTTTAGGTATTGTATGTGCCTATGTATGGACTGCCTCTTTGGCCGAGTGGTCGTAAGTGCGACTGCCGGGCAAGAGGTCTCGGGTTCGATTCCCGGGTTGGGCAAAGTATTACTGGGTTTTTAAATATTCTCAGTAGTAGCACGGAGTCTGGAATTGTGCCCGGTATATATGACATTAGGCTGTCCCCCTATTACATGGGACTCATAACATAAATATTGAAAAGCTGGTGTTACATTGTACAGTGGTATAATGGGCACCTCTGCCTACCCTTTCGGGGATAAAAGGCGTGATGTTATGTATGTATTGTATGTCTTATCAAATATTAAAAGCGTTAAGTACAAAATTCCGAGAAAGGAAGAAGTAAGTAAATGCAAAATTAATAACAAAATGTTCTTAGAATCCGAAAATAGCTCCTAGTCATTCAAATAGCATGACACGTCATTTATAGACACTCGATACAGATGAATCGTCCAGGAAAACCTGCGTCTATTGCTTTGATGAAAAACATGTTTGTTTGAGGAGGGAATCTTCCATTGGTTGATGGGTGACCTACTAAGCAAGGGGCGGAAGGAGATGAGATTCGCTCAAAGATCACATTGTGCAAATGTTTACTTATAATGACCCAGTCACAAAGTGATTGATTCTTTGAAATTGTAGGTTACAGAAGTGCATATACTTAGAAGTGTATGGTCTATTCTCTGACTAAGCAACTAGCAATTTGATATGTAGAAACTGTAGGTATTAAATCAATCTTAGTCAGCTAACGGTTGTTTGAACAAGTTTTTGTTACACCTAACTCAACTGACTGAAATTGCAGCATAGAGAATAGTTACGTAGTGCAAAGTATAATTATGTTTTGATCATGTATTGTGTTGGTAATTAGAGGTCATTTTAGTATGAACAGTTCAAGGACCTGTTATATTAACAGTTGTTATCGAAAAGGAAATTCAGGATGAGTCAGCTAGTCTCGTTTGCTTTTCACTAGATTTGTTCGAGCGTGTCTGAATTTGGAAGAGATCCAACGTCTACTCGCGGGTGGCACTAGCAATATATCCTCGACCCACTCTTTATTTATATCCTGACCGAGATGTCACTGCGCTTAGAACCGCCAAATATTTTCAACTAAATCTTCTTTTACTTCAGACATAAGGTTTATAATCGCGTGACTTTTATGTACTTTTATAGTCCTAACATTAATGAAGTCTCGGTTTTACCAATTGGCGTTATCTTTTTGATTGTTATAAGATCTCAAGTCTTTTATACACATGGCGGCATTTTTTTCACTGTTGTCAATGTTTCTAGGAATATGTTCTATGAGAACATTACGTTTTAATTGAGAAACACATGGTGTGTTCATTATGGAAGTAATGTATCTTCCTTTTTTACGTACTTATGGTTTTGTCTTTATTACTTTAACGAGTCGTGGAAGTTTTTAAACGCCATTCGTTCTTGAACTGAAAAATGAATCATATTATTGATTTATGAAGCACAGCGTGATTAATTTAATTTTCAGCAAAAAACATTTATTTAAATCCGAAGTGCCGATGGTTGCTTCTCAAGATATGGACGATGCAAGACAAAATATTTGTTCTGCCCTATCTGCGAGACACATCAATATTTATTGACGGCATCGCGTTTGCATTATAGAACCTATATGTTCATATGTATTTAATCGATCGAAGCGAAGGTTTCTAAGTAAATTATGTTATCAGACCACGTATTATCACCGTAGTCAGATCGGAAAGCAAACATTATGTCTGACACAACCACGTTTCAAGTAAATGGCCAAAGATTATGTAGTCCCATAAGTATATATTATTAGGATTATCTACGGACCAACTGGTAGTTAAAGAGTCTCGCATTTATGCAATTTTACCGACATCGTGTATTACAAACCGTTATCAAGGTGCCTATCACAAAATTATTTGGTACTATTATTTGTTAAATAATGTTAGGTTGTGTTAATGACTTTATGAATATGAAACACTGATTTCAAAAACTCCGAAAGTCTACTGATACGTATATGTAAAAAGTAGATGTACTTAACTCGTCGAGTACCGTCATTATACCTCTAGACACAATTATAGAACAATAGGTTGGTGTTTGACAGTTTAATACCTTACCGCGGCAAATATATGGAAATTACGAAGACTCAAAGACATACTAGAAACGTTAATGGAAATAAAAGAAATGTGTCAAGAATGCCTAGCTCAATAGGTTACATAGCCATTACGACTTTATTTTCTTTAACGACATTCTTTTATGGGCTTTATGAAGTGTGCCCAACCTATCTCATACTCTCACATGCTATGAGATTCTTGCACATTCATCAATCTTTATGTATGCTAACACCATAAATAAAGGTTGGAATACATCTCGGTTCTATTCACTGTGTTATATAGTTGTGCATGTAAATATACCGGCTTCGAATGCACGCTCAACTTCCAAAGCTCTTGAACTAATACCTTGTACGTGGGAGTAATACGTAACTTTTAGTAGTTTACACACAAATAGAGACATTTTCTCACCGTCCGACTCGATATTGTACCATGTTTGTTTATGAAAATACGTGTTTTTGTAGCTTCTCGAATATATTCACGTTTTTATTGTGTTTACATGAAAAAAAGTTCCACTGAACTCCCTAGCTTAAATGTTCGAAGGTAATAAAAGTTTCGAGTCTGTTTGACAC